GTATATAGTTGCTTAGAGTTGCAGCTGAGAGGCTGGCAAGTGAGGCTGTGAACGTTGGAGTCTGCAGCAAGCAAGCCTCCCTGCTCGCTTCAGTGCCTGGCTGCCGGCCGCCATCTTGGCTGACAGTTAATTTGCATATACTCACTGACTAGCCAATGAAAAGGGTAGCGGTCGTACGCTAATTACCATGTTTCTCTTTTATTAGTGTAGATACTATAGGGTAGACCAGAATTATTCAGAATTAACCCCTGTAGGAAGCTTACCTTTATTAATCTTAGATCCTAAGACTGTTTGTTCTAGAACTACTAGTATATGCTGTGCAGAAACAGGTCTAGATTTCAATGGCCACCAACCTAAAGCTCATCCTTTTAAAAACGTATAAGACCTTGGCCAGTGTGGCTCAGTTGCTTGGAGCATTATCCCATACACCAAAAGGTGGTGGGTTCGATTTCTGTTCAGGGCACATACCCAGGTTGCAGATTCAATCCCTGATCGGGGTGTGTGCAGGAGGCAACCAATCAATGTTTCTCATATTGATGTTTCTCTCTCTCTCTCTCTCTCTCTCTCTCTCTCTCCCCCGCCCCCCTTCCAATCTCTAAAATTTAAAAAAAAATCTTGTCATATTTGAGGGGATGATTGGGAAGGCCAGCATGCCTTAAGCTAGAACTTTATTTAAAAAAATAAAGAGTATAAAAACTTTATCAAAGCCTTTAAAATGAGATGTTTGCCTGTTCTTAGAAATTACTGACCCACACCTAATATGTACAGGTTACCCAAGCAAATCAGAGAAGCTGTGGAGCATGGAAAAGATGAAAACCTACTTCAGCCTCATTAGGAACCTTCAGCCCACGCTGTCTGACGTGGGCAATCAGGTTCTCCTCCGGTACTACCAGATGCAGCGGCAGAGTGACTCCCGGAACGCCGCCCGGACAACCATCCGCCTGTTGGAGAGCTTGATACGATTAGCAGAAGGTTTATTTCATTCAGCAAATGAATTTTTTATTGGGTTCCCATTATGTACAAGGAATGGGGGGTGACACCATGAGCTCAAAGATGAATAATCCCTACTCTAAGGTGCTCACAGGTGCTTATTAAAGTAAAGGCTCTGAGCTATGAAGCCTCCACTCTTCTGGGACATTTATGGGTGTTGAGTGAAATGTAGTGTCATTAAGAAAGAGGAATATTTGTGATAGCTCAGGCTTTGTGATAGCTCCTATACCTTAAGATGTCATTCAGTTAGGTCTTATTTACTAAGGTTTTATTTCTCAGTGGCAGTCTGTTAGCATTTTGGGTGAGATACTGCCTTGTTTGGAATTGTTTCCTATGTAGCAACCCACCACTAACATAATGACACCAAATTAATAATGCCAGGCCCTAGCCCAGTGATGGCGAACCTATGACACGCGTGTCAGAGGTGACACATGAACTCATTTTTTTGGTTGATTTTTCTTTGTTAAATGGCATTTAAATATATAAAATAAATATCAAAAATATAAATCTTTGTTTTACTATGGTTGCAAATATCAAAAAATTTCTATATGTGACACGGCACCAGAGTTAAGTTAGGGTTTTTCAAAATGCTGACACGCCGAGCTCAAAAGGTTCGCCATCACTGCCCTAGCCCTAGCCCATCCCTAATGGCAGCTAACATGCATCTCAAGATGTTTTCTTTAACATTGGCTTTTACATTTAGCCCTTGTTTTAATAAATAAAAAATTTAACATGAACTGACTATACCATGTGATAACATTATGTATGCTTAATAAAAAGTTCTATAAAACGGATGCACTTAACTTTTTTAAAGATTTGTAGCTAATATTAGAACAAGAAATACATAAATTTTATGCTCATGAGTTTGGTAGTTTTGAAAAGCTCACAGATAAAATTGCCAGAGATGAGAAATGAGTTTAATTTTGTGTGTTTCTATAATAGACTAGAAAGTGAGGATTAAAAGCTGTTGAATATTAAACATATGCTTACGTAGCCCCTTTCTTTGCTGGAGCCCAGAGTGCTTTTCATGGAAATACACAGAGTTGCCATGGGCTGTGCAGAAGGATGTGGCCCTTTATTACAGGAACAGCCTTAAAGCGAGTTGAACTTAGGCTTTTGTGCTTGTTCTGGGAAAAATTAATTTGTTATTAGCTCATTCATAACATACAAGTTTTTGAGGGGGATCAGGTAGAGTACTGCATTTATCACCTCAAATATTTATTTTAAGCATTTCTGTCTTCATGATTTAAAATGCCCCTTGTTTTCTCAGCTCATGCTCGCCTGATGTTTCGTGACACTGTGACTCTAGAAGACGCTATTACAGTGGTGTCAGTCATGGAGTCCTCCATGCAGGTGAGGGCATTGGGTGCTAATATCTGAACTGTAGTCACAGGCATCAAATAAAAGACAGTTTGTATCATATCAGGAGCTATTATTTAAATGATTATATTCCAGACCTAATAATTTCTGGAAATATATCGAAAGGAAACCATTTAAAAGAAGGAAAAATACTGTCATGAAAACATTCTCTGCCTCAGTATAATGGCTTTTCCCATTGGTGTAAAGTGGTGGGTCTCAGTACATCTTCTCCTTGACATACCTGAGGGATGGTCATGGTCTTACTAGTGAGAGCGTGGCTTCGCAGAGCAATGCTTGCCAGCAAAGAACCGGGGGAGAAGATTATTGAAATTTGAAAAATGCCCAGGTGATTCTGATTCAAGGTGGGAGTGTGGAGGGCTGGGCTCAGCCATCTGGGACCAGTGGTGCCCAGTGTGGACTTCTCTGCAGGCTGGCCTGGTGACTCCCTGGTGTTCTCCACTCCTCACCCTCAGGGAGGCGCACTGCTGGGAGGCGTGAACGCACTCCACACTTCCTTTCCTGAAAACCCTTTGGAGCAGTACCAGAGGCAGTGTGAACTTATTCTGGAAAAGCTGGAGCTGCACAGCCTCCTGAGTGAAGAGCTAAGAAGACTTGAAAGGTGAGAAAAGAAAGCCAAGATAGGCATGTAATGGGAAATCTTTATTTGGCATTTAGTGAAACAAAGGAAGTATGCATTAAGTGGAAAACCTGTCTGTGCTATCTGTAGGGGATTGTTTCAGCTATCTATTGCTTATAATCAGCTATCCCAAAACTCAGTGGCTTAAAAAAAGACATCACCCCCATTATAGCGCTCATTTTCCTAGGACAGTGGTCGGCAAACACATTAGTCAACAGAGCCAAATATCAACAGTACTTCTTCAAAATAGACTCGCCCAGGCCAAAAACCGACTTCTGCGCATGGGCCACGAAGTTTCAATCACACTGTACGTGCGCGCCCGCACGTGGTATTTTGTGTAAGAGCCACACTCAAGGGGCCAAAGAGCCGCATGTGGCTCGCGAGCCGCAGTTTGCCGACCAGGGTCCTAGGAGACGGAAATTCAGGAGTCTCACAGGGATGGCTCATCTCTAATCAACGTAGTAGCAGCTGGAATTACTCACACACCTGCATTTAACTGGCAGCTCAGCCATTTTCGGATCATCCAGGATACTTCCATGACGTGTGTGATGTCTTCACTGGGTGGCATAAATGTCTGGGGGCTGGCTGGGCTCTCTCTGCTGTAGGGTAGTCAGAATTCTGCCATGGTAGCTTAGGACTCCAGTATAGCAAGAGCCTGAGCTGCCAGGCCTCTTACGGGCTGGGCCAGGACTAGAGCAGAATCATTTCTGCCACGTGCTGTAGGTTAGAGCAAGTCACAAGGTCACCCCACAAGCAAAGTGAAAGGAAATAGACACCACTGGGTGATGGGAGGTGTGGCACAGGCATACGGGAACGGAGGAATTGATGGCTGCCATCTTTAGAGACCACCTTCCAAAGCTACATCTTCTTGACTTGCTGCTTTGGTGAGCCTCATGGAGAACACAGACTGGTTGTTTGCTATATCGATGCTGTAAACTATATATAAATTTACTCTGTGTAGTAAAATGTATAGCACTGGGTCTCAATTACGTGAGAAGCACTAAGGTAAGCTACCTACAGTTCACACCCAGTATGCACAGTTGCTGCGGAACCAAGACACCTTGGTGAGTGGCCTCTATCATGTTTGCTTTCACTACTTCTTCCTCTTCTCTTTCGTTGGCTCCCTGTACAAACTAGAGCAACAAGGCGCTGGGACTGCTATTAAGAAAGAGGAAGTTAGATTCCAGGAGCCATCTATCCCAGCCCAGACCCTAACACAAAATATCTACTTGGCCTTACCATCTTTCCTCACCAGGAGAGGACATGTGCAAGGGAGCTTATATAAAGAATCTTAGAGTTTATTAATATTTTAATTTTATTCTTATTGTTTCTAAAGCTCTCTTCCAAACATAATAAATGTTTGATATTAGTCCTTAGGTAACCCTGGTGAAAGAAATTGACAGGTTAGAAGACTGAGGCGCAGAATGGTTTTAGGCCAGCCTGAGCTAGTATGCTGGGCAAGTTAGAAATAGAGATAATTATACTGACCTCCACCTGGTTCCTCAGTGGCAGTTTTCCTTCCCTGCATGCCCAAATCCATGACCTTTAAAAATTTACATATCTAATAGACTTAAAAAATCCTCAGTGAGAATGATGTATTTTATTTTAAAGAGGGAGATCATCCTACTGGTTTGGAACATCCAAACAACTCGGGAATGACAACAGCAGTGTTTCAAAGCTCACCTTTTTAAGGACTTGTTACAGTGCGGATGTATGGGAAGGAAAGCGCATCACCTGAAGAATTGTTGCCTGGAACTGAATGTTGCATGTCCCCATATAGATGAGCTTCTAAAAAGCTAGACTGTGAGTCTGTGCCTGTGAAGCAGGAGTGAAGAATGGCCAGTGTATCCATTTGAGTATCTGCATGATCAGTTGAGTGGCTGGATAATTGACCTGAATCTGGTTATTGGTGTTGCTCTCAAAGCTGGGGTCTGGGAATGGGGCGCGTGAGGAAGTGGAACAGCTGCAGAAGAAGAATATGGGGCCCTGGTGGGATTGCTAACTGTATTAAGTAAAACATTGAGAATTCTTTTCCTGGCTTTCTCTCCTATTTGTTTCTTCCCTTCATCCAACAGAATTCTCTTTCTAATTTATAAAGCTCAGCACAGCCTTCCTGGGGACGTGTGGGGCTGGCTTTGTCCTACTAATGCACCAGGTGCCAGCCTGCGGTAAACTAGCACTTTGTATAAAATCAATCCCCTGTCTTTGGTCTCCTGGTTTTTTAATGGCCCAGAGCATAGTGTTAAGATCAAAGCGATTCCTTTGGTTCTTTCATGGTTTGATGTCGCAGATCCTTTTCAGGCCTGCCCTGGGCTTGCCTTGGCTTTTGGAGACACTGCTTGTTTAGACTGACCATAAATGGATCATTTTGACGACCAAAAACATGTTGGATTCGGGAAGGGAAGGAACGCGAGGCTCAGAATCAGTTATGTGATAGAAAAATAGCAATTGGACTATCCAAGTTCAGAACGATTTTCCTGCAAGGAAAAAAGGGGGAAGAGGAAAAAAAGAGTAGGTGATGATCTGAAAGATAGGATTTGGCCTTAAAATGTTCTTTTCTTCTGGTATCTCTTTGTAATGTAGAGGCCTGTTGGGTATTGATCCTCAAAGCAACAAAACCAGGTGCCCCACAGATGAAAGTGCATTACCTCTAGAACATAATCTAAAGCTAATCTTAACAGTGGGAAAGCCCCAAGTAGCATACGGTATATCCCCTTAGGTAAGGGTTCTCTATTCCTTAAGGAGATCACATATCAATCATAAAACTATTTGTATTTTTATCACACTTTTCTTCTGGAAAATGCTTTTAGTGACATCCTGCCTCAAATGGTGGCCATTCTACCCACCTCTAATCAGAGTGCAAAGATGCCATCTTTCTAGGAAGTTATAGTAAAACTGTACTTTTTATGTAGGGGAGAATTTAATTCCCAAAGTCAGAATTGGACTAAAATAGTGGGCTAAATTATTATTCTACCCCTGAAAACTTCCTGTCATTTAGGACATTGTTATGGAGCTTTAGTAATTACTAGTATCCCTGACCTCAACTTGCTGCTGAAAGTATACTAGATAGTAGTAACTTTGAAAGCTACTTGGTTTTTTGTGGGATTTTTTCCCAAAAAAATATTTTTATTGATTTCATAGAGGAAGGAAGAAGGGGAGAGAGATAGAAACATTAATGATTAGAGAGAGAGAGAGAATCATTGATCGGCTGCCTCCTTGACCCCCTAGTAAGCCTCAAGCCTGCAACCTGGGCATGTGCCCTAACTGGGAATCGAACCATGACCTCCTAGTTCATAGGTCAACACTCAACCACTGAGCCACACCAACCGGATAGAGCTACTTTCTTGATCAGCAATAAGCTACTGTGCAAATAGCTAGCAGTCTGTATTGTAGTTACACATATAACACGAGAGATAAGACTGAGCATTTTTACATTGACCTTCAAACTATCTTAAATGAATTAAGTAGACTTTCAGAGAGAAGGAAAATGTAGGCAAACTCAGTACTTCATTTTTTTAATTTTACTTCAATTTAAGGCTAAATTAGAATGGTTATCAGGTCACTTAATCTCTATTCTAATGAAAACAGATAATTCCCTCTTGCTGTTTTTAGAGACTGTATTTGGTATTAACCTGGAATTAAGTTGGACTTATCCCTTTAGATGGCATCTCAGACACTAAAGAAATGAAAAGGGTAAAGCAACTTTCCTTCCCTTCAATATATGTTTTCCTTATTTCTGCTACAGGTTACAGAATCAGAGTGTGTACCAATCCCAGCCAAGGACAGAGGCAGAGACTACTCCAGGGTCCTCGGGACGTGACCCAGGAGGAGAATCCAAATTCAGAACGTCAACACAGCAGGAAGTGAACTGTGGTATCCCTTCCTCTTCCAGTCCCAGGGGAAGCCCACCACTCGACCCTCCACCCCACCTGGGGCCTAATAGGTCAGCACGTAGAAAAGATTCAGCTCAGCACGACAGCAGAGATGCTGGTTTGGATTGGTTTGACTCCCTGACAACTCATCAGATTGAACCGAAAAACACCGTTTCTGTGTCTCCTGGTCCCAAAACAACTGAGCAGAAAATGGTTTTGAAAAAATCCAACAACACATCTCAGGGTAAAGAAGAGAGGGAGCCAGACCAAAGGAGCAAGTTGGAAACTGGACTGCTTCCAGCACCAGGAGAGACAGGAGCTCCATTGAGGCCAGAGAGTGTTAAGGGGAAAAAGGGAAAAAAGGCAGCAGCAGTTTCTGAAACAGCAGGAACTGCTGATGAACCAGACTCGGTGCTGACTCATCATGTCCCCAGGAAACTGCACAGGCTGCGCAAGGAGAGGGCCCAGGAGTTGTACAGCAATCCTGCCAGGCCGCCTTCACAGCCCATAAGCCCTCCTCATCCTCCATCCATCCCTGTACGTGGCCCAGAAAGAAAGAGACAGAAGTCCCTCCCTCGGGTGAAAGAGCCTGAACCTGAAAGTGTTGACAGTTCGGGTGCCCCTGTGGCCAAACTAGCAAAATTTACTTTCAAACAGAAGTCAAAACTGATCCACTCCCCTGAGGACCAAAGCCTTGTGTCTCCTGGCAGAACTGACCTAGCAGTTCGGAGTCCGAAAATTTCCCAGCATGGAACAAGAGGAGAAGCAGCTCTGTCGGTGAAGAGTCCAGAAAAGTTGACCTCAGGAAAGGGGGGCTCAGATCTGCTGCAGAGGAGGGCAACGGGGGTGTCACAGCAGTCATCAGGGAAAGACAGGTCAAGAGCGGAGAGGGCATGTGGCCCTGGAAAGAGAGATATTCAGCCTGAATTTGAGCTTGGGAACGAGACTGGGCATTTGCATCTCACTGGTGAAAGAGACAAAAAAGAAGGGCTTTCGTGCAGTAATAAAAGCAGCAAGGTTCATGCTTGCACATTAGCCAAGTTGGCCAACTTCTCCTTTACTTCCTCCCCTGAATCCAAATCAGCATCCCTGCCTCCTTCTGAAAGTAAGAACTCGGGTGAGAGAGGCCCAAGCCCGCCTCCCACGACCACAGCTACAATGCTTGGCAGGAAAAGGAAAACTTTTCAGTTGGAGGGGCCCCCTGAGAAACTCAGTCTTTCCAAAAAGTCTCTCTTTACTTTACCAGAACTAGAAGACGAAGCATTAGATTTTGATTGGGATGAAGAAATGAGAAAAAAGCCATAATCATGGAAAGCTTGCTGGTCAAATTTCATCTTTCCCAACTCGACACAGTACCTTTGGGATACCTACATGGTATTTATATATGTCCAGACTATTGGCCATATTGAGTGCCATTCTAAATGCCAGCTCCCCAATCACATTTTGTAATTTCAGGTTTATCTTCATGATTCATCAAGTTGTTTAATCATTATAGATTTATGTGATACCAGCCCTTGGATTGAATTGACGTTGTGCGTAATTTTGCAGAATGGAATACTTGCATTCCCAAAGATGTTTGTTTGTTTTGTTTTTAAGGGGTGGGTCTTCCCAGTATTCCTTCTTTCATTCACTCAGGAACAAATGTCAGGATAGTAGCACTCATAGAGCTAACAAGATAGGTGAACTCTTCTATTTTTTCCTTTTTTTAAAAAAAACCCCATGATGTGCCAAGTGTGAATATTTATTATGATTTGACAAAATCGTATGATTTTTCTAATATTGTTTTTGTGTTATGTGTAAGAGTAAAGGTGACTAATGCTTTTCTTTCTTTGAGAGGCACCTCACAATTCCATGGTATTCCTAAAGATTTGGCAACTGGTCAAATAGCTTTCTGAAGTAGTGGCCTTTGAGTTTTTCTTTACTTCTTCAGCCAATATTTTGTGCTTCAGATTATTTTTATCTTTTGGGGACTTCCCTTCAACACAACTTCAGTCTTGTCATTGGAAGGAAAGAGAGTATTCAGCTGTCCCAATCATATATCATGGCATCTACCCAAATAGTTAATATGGAATGTGACTCCTACTATTGTGACTTATTTGTCTTTAAATCCAAACAAATGACTGTATTTGGTAGTAATAGACAACCCAAGCTGTGTCTTAAGTCCTTGAAAATCACTCTTTCTTTGAATTCTAGCAGAGGCTCTTAGGAATTCACAATTGCAGGATTTATCTTCTGAAGTATGAATTTGTAAAAAAAAAAAAAAAAAAAAGATTCTTTCATTGTCTGAGGGATTTTTAGACATGCAGAATACTCAAAACTGTATGTACTTTGTTTAATGATCATTGCATTAAATTTACACAGAAAAAATTAGGTACCCGAGTTTTTCTTCAGCATTAATTCCAAAAGTGACTCATTAAATTTTCTAAAAAATTTTAAGCTATGAGTACAAACTTAGTATGAATGAGTCTTGAAATCTTTAAACACCTCAAACAGCTGATAAAAGACATACATAAGCAGTGATTTATAATTTTTATTGCACATTCTCTTAAACCTATTCTAAAACATCAAGACTATGGTTTTGAACATTTCTTTATTATTTCTGTGTTAATAACCTCATCCTTAGTATGAGTCTTAGTGTAATATATTCCTAACCTTTCAATATTAATACTTTCCTGGGTTTTAGTATTTTTACTAGAACTTAAGGGAAAAGGAAAGAATTTGGGTTATTGACTAGTTGATTCTTGGACTGGACTGGTTCTGATTGTGTAGACTAGGCTAATTCAGTTAAACCTGAACCACAGTGTGGGGCTGACTGTTTTGTTTTGCTTTATTTATGGTAAACTTTTTAAATGCCTTCATTAAAAATTTTTGTCTTTGAAACTTGGTGTCTTCTGCAGTAATGATGTATTAAGCTTTACATAGATGATAACACCTAACCTCTTGGCTTATCATTTAGGGTACTTTGATCTGTTCTTTTTTGTCATTTAAAATGGTTGTATTCCTGCCTGGCCAGTGTTGCTCAGTGATTGAGCATTGACCTATGAACCAGGAGGTCATGGTTCGATTCCCAGTCAGGGCACATGCCTGGGTTGCGGACGCAATCCCCAGTGGGGGGTGTACAGGAGACCGCCAATCAGTGTTTCTCTCTCATCAATGATGGTTCTATGTCTCTCCCCCTCTCCCTTATTCTCTGAATCAATAGCAATATTTTTTTTTTTAAAAAGGAAACAAAGAAAATGTTGTATTCTTTATCAGGAATCTTAATTCTAGAGCTTTTATTTCTTAGCAATAAGGGATTTGGTTTATGCAGTTAACTTGTCTCTTTAGGACATTAAATAATTCATATTTTACAATACAGTGTTAAATTGTCTCTCTTTCTTAGTGATTGTATTTGACCACCATGTCACTTTCTACCTGGTTATTACTTGTACTCAGCACATATCCTATTATTTGTGCTAATGAAGCCACCCTATTTTTTATTTTAGTAATTTCTGACAGGATCATTTGGCCAAGTTACAGTTCCATGTATTTATTCTTCAATGCTTACCCAGATAAAAATAACTACATGTGTAAATATTATAAATAGACATAATTATTAGAAGTAATAAAATATTCAGTGTGAACACTCACCTATTTGCTAAAAAATTAAACTTGTATCACAGTCTGCTTTTGTGTTATGACTACCTTGCTGTGTTTGTATTTGATGCTCAGTCTCACAACTGGGTCAATAGGAAGTCCTTTATGCTGACACCAGTGTTCTTTCATGCCTGACATTGCAAAGAGCACCCATGCTATCTGAAAATAGCAGCATGTTCTAGACCCAGTTTGATATTCTTCCCTGCCTCGAATCATAGAATCAAGGCACTGTATTTCCTTTAGAGTCTAATGGTGTTAGAGGCCAACTGTGTGATTTCACAACTAAGACTTTCTCTTACATGGTATTCAGCAGTGTACCAAGATAGCACATAGGTGTCTCAGGGAAATATGTACAGTCTCAGAAGTCAGATAAAGGAGAGTGTGAAAATAACCTTTGATTCTGAATCAACATATCAGAATATTTTTATTTCAGGCCAGTGGACTCCTTGAAAACATTTGAATAATGTAAAATTATTTAAGCACATTAAAAGCTGTACCTAATTTTGGTTCTCTCAAACCAGATAGTTAATTCTGTTACAACTATGTAAAAGAATTGAGTTTTCCTGAACTGTAAAAGATATACTCTTCAGTGTATATGTGATATTCTCTAATTTATAACAGTGATTTCATTGTAATTTTTAGTGTTTCTTTAAAATACAAACAAAACAAGCATATTATTTTGGTATCTTTAATTCTGGCTGAATTCAACCAAACTTTAAACTTTTTCTGAAGGTATACCAAAACTTTAGTAATAGAGATCTATTCTTGGTTGACAAATTTTAATTCCAACAAACCTACATATTTTTTATGTGTATATTGGTTTCTTTGCTTTTCCCAAGTGCTAAACCTGCTTAGCTGGTGGAATTACTGGAAAACCAATCCTAGGAAAAATCTTTAGAGCTCACTTTTAGCCAATGCACAACATTTGGGAGTTCAGACCAACCTACCCTGAAGTCTGGGTCACGGAGACTACCCGGAAACCAGGTTAATCTTTCAGATGCAGCCTATCAGACAACCTAATTCCAAATTTAGCAAGCTCATTTTGTGGAATGCTAGGCAGTGCATATTCCTCAGTGTTCAGAATAATAACCTTTGTGTCTGTTTTCCATATTTTTAACATTCAACAAAGATTAAAAAAATAGAGGCTCCTGGCTCATATTAATATTCACTCCAATCAGGGTTTTGCTTTTTGTGTCCCATCTTGCAGGTGGCATAGTACCCAGGTATATGAGGAGCCATTACCCACACTATCTCCTTCACTGCACTCAGAGTTCATGCAGGAAACGCATCCCCTGTCACATAGGAAGCTGCCTCCTATGATGCCCTCCTCTGTTGTTCCACTGTCTTCTCCTCTGTCTTCCCCTCCTCAAGGCTTAAAAATATGTCTAAAGGTAATATTTGTAGAAGAGAACTTAAAAATAATGTTAAATTAGGCTTAAACTGATGGTATATGTATGTGAACACTCCAGTGCAAGCCAGGAAGGGAAATGGGATATTCACACCGGGCCTGACCTCACCAAGAAGTAGGGTGTCGATTATGTTTGAGCACAGATGGTTTTTAGGCCACTCTTTATGTTTGGCTGGAAGCATAAACCTTGGCCGAGTCGGACCACCAGAAAAGCATTTGAAGCAGAGCATTTTTTTTGTGGGACAAACTTGGTTTCATTTAGGATTTCCATAACAATCCAAGCCACTGTTCATGTATGTTGCTTAATATTTCCAACCTAACTTTTTCAGTGCAACAAGACCGGGTAGCATAGCACAATTAGGAATCAGGCAGATTGGGTTCTAGAACCGAATGCTCACTGCCTGCAGGGTGACCTCGCTGTCTTCAGTGAGTGACCTCGTCCACAGCAGAGAGGATTAGGCATTTCTCAGTCAGGTATTCTTTTCTTTTTAGACTTAAAGATATTCTTCCTCATTCTTCTCATTAAAGTTGACATCTGAAAAAAAGATGCTTATGAATCTGTACTCTGAGTGGTAACTTCAAATGTGAAATTTTTGGTAGGATGTAAAACAAATTGTAAAAAAAAAAAATATTGTTTAGAGAAAGGAAAAGAACAACCCTACAATACTAGTGTGGTGAAGGCATTTTTAGGTAGCATCAATCAATCAGCAAATGTGTGTGTGTGTGTGTGCGCGTGCACATGTGTGCATGGGCCTGAATCAGAAAGGTGTGTGAAGCTTTCTTCAGTAGACCACCGGCCTTGTGATCACAGGTAAGTTGAATATTACTAAGGGCAATGCAGCAGAACAGCTGGGCAAACAACTGGTTCAGGCTCCAGGGTCACATGGTGAGCCCTGCAAGCACTCCTGCCCTCTTTGAGCCAGGGATCCCTGAGTCAGGTATTCTTGAGTTACAAAAAAGGAAACCTCAAGCCAGCTGACATAAAAGTGGGTTTCCCCTAAGGATACATCGGGGAGTCTCAGTAAAGGCGGGAAACAAAATCTAACCAGGCTGCCTGGCCCTGGAACTGGGCGTTCTCTCAGCCTCTCCTGGGCCTCAAGGTCCCTCGTCACTGCTCCTCTGGGCGAGTTACTCCCAATTGCTGCCCTTCTCCAGGGCCCTGCTTTATGTGCTCCTTAGGCTTCTCCGCTCCAGGTACCATGTGACTTCTGATCTGGTTTGGGGTCTGGCTCCGGCTGTGCCTTCGACCATCCAGATAATGCACCTGTTTTCGTCTTACTGATTCAGGCTCTGTGTTCCTTGGTTCAAGAAGAAGTGGGGAAGGGGCGTCATGGGGCAGGTGGCCACCTGGTACAAATAGCAGCTAGACATTGCTAAGAGCACCCATGCTATCTGAAAATAGCAGCATGTTCTAGACCCAGTTTGATATTCTTCCCTGCCTCGAATCATAGAATCAAGGCACTGTATTTCCTTTAGAGTCTAATGGAAACCCTCAGAGCCTCCAAGAGTATGGGGTGGGAGGCAGCCATTGGCCAGTCTATCACACTTCTGTCTTCACGCATTTTTGTTATAGGTTCTAAAAATTCTATAAACTTTATTGTGTTTATCAGTTACTGAGTTGAGCTTGCTTCTAAAGGTACTTGGATCATCTTTCCCAAGGAAGCCATGTAAATTCCTGACCCGACAGCAACCAGCGTTGCCAGGCCACTTCGACAGTATTGAAGGGGACATCTGTAACACTAAACAATAAAGATAATTTTTTTTAAAAAAAAGTGCAACTTATGTTCCAGGCCATATAGGAAGCTGTTTGCTATCTCACCTGGTTTCAGGGTTCTGTTTTCCTAAGCATAAGTTGCTCAACATAACTACATCATGGCATTTAGAAATCCTTAGATGGGAGTAAAAATAGATGGGAGTATGTGAGGATATTACTCTGAAATATACGTTAGGAATAATCTCTGCAGTTAAGATACACTTTAACATTTTCCAGATCTTTATTTTTCTACCTTCCAACAAAGCAGGGGCTAGAGATAGATCCATGATGAGGAGAGGGAAATACGTAGGTGTCACAGACCCACTTTAATCCTTTTTAGAATTACAGGGGGCCCAGAATCACTAAATTGACAAGTAATGTAATATTGATCCTTAATGATACTGTTTTTTCATTGCTGCGAGATTAAATTGCTTTTTAAAGAGGAGAATCCAAAGCTACCTGGAGGGATTGAGCATATCAAAGACCTTTGACTGCTGCCCTGAGGGGACTCAAGGTGAATGGGGGATGACACTGTTGCCTGGGGCATACCAATCCCTGGAAAGACTCCCGTTTGTAGACCTTTGTGAAAAACAAAGTATCTTATAAACCATCCTTGAATGGGAAGGT